TTTCCTGAAATGAGCATGCTAATACTACTCGCACCTCGAAAGGCAATAGTGAGTCACTGTAGTGTCCAGTCTGCTCTCAGTCCAACATGAGATGCAGAAGTAGAGCTGACCCAAGGGCTTGTCAGTCATATTGAATGTACAGTCCCCAGTTAGCAGCACACACTGCAAATTATTTCCAGAAAGTTACAATATGTAACTGTAATATTTCATGATAAATTACGTTATTATCACATGGAAGGCTACAACTGTGATATATTTACTGTATTCAGAATTTTATTGTAAAATTCATGCAGGTGAATATAGTAATTTTACAGAAGTACACTGCTTAATCACAGTACTATATGGAGTTTACCTGTAAAGTTACAGTTAAATACTGTTATGTCACAGTAATGTAATGGGCTTTAACTGTGGGGTTACAATTGAATATAGTAATTTTACAGGAGCATACTGCTAAATCACAGTAATATGTAGACATAACTACTGTGAGATCACAGTTAAAGAGCTGTCGTTTCACAATAATTTACAGTAAAAATGATACAGTAACATACTGTGAAAGTGATGCAACTAGTAGCCTGTAGCAAGCAATGATGTAGACTGTAGGGCAGTGCCACATGTGAACATTAACAGGTAGCAGTTTTATGTTGGCCAGCTCTGAGTTTCAGCAGTTTAGCTGAATGTTCTTGTCCAGCTGTTATTTAGTAATCTGAGCATAGCCTTACTTCAGGCAGGACATGATGTCAAGCTCAGCTCAAATCCCAGCAACATCAGCTGATCTCAGACAGCCAATCAACTAACAAAGCAGCTGATTGATGGAAGGGAGTCAGCTGATAGATCACATGATTCCTTTCTATGCAACCAATTGGCGAATCTCATTCAGGGCGCCCTATTTAAACTGCTCTGGCCTGCCTACTTTTGCTGCTTCCTCTGCAACCCGCCTCCACCCCAGCTCCTCCTTTTCATGCTGTGTCTTACTTATCAGTGTCATTTCTGTTTGTCATGGATGCTGCTCTGTTCTGTTCCTGGAGGGTCTTTGCTGCTGCTCTCCCTGCTGCTCTCCCTCCATGTAGGTGCATGGAAGGGCAGAGTGGTGTGCTCTTTCTGCCTCAGGCTTTCCTCGTCTGCACATGGAAGGGCAGATAGGTGTGCTCACTCTGCCTCAGGCTTTCTTCATTTTCACATGGAAGGGCAGAGTGGTGTGCTCTCTCTTCCTCACTGTGCATTCACACCAAAGGCATCATGAGCGTCATGAGCGTCCGGCAGCCATTCATTTTCAATGTACGCTTGCTACGAAGGGCATCAGGGGCATTGGCTGCAGCGAGTGGCGCGATGCCAGCGACCAGAGCGTCGAGTAGAAGTTGAGAGAAGCTGAACTTTATGCAAATGAGCAGCGCCGCTGCCGAAGCAGCAGCCAATTGCAGACTGGGATTCGGGTACGGAGGTCTGGGCTCTCCCGGAGCGGTACGAGCCGGTGAAATTCACCGTGGAGTTGCCGAGTTTGCAGGACTCTGTGGACCCAGACAGCCCGATGGCTCTGGGTCCTGTGTTTCCTCAGCAAATACGCCGATGCAGTACAAAGGAGGCTTCTGAAAGTGCAATTAATGAGCTCCTGCTTATTTACCACCAATTACATTTCTCAGTGGTCCTACGTGCCAACAGGAGAGTAAAATCATAATTATAAAGGACTCATAAAGGCTATATTGACTGTGTTTATTAGCGTTATTTTAATTGTGCAATGAAAGTCATGGATAATACAAAGTGAAGACATAAATGATATATTTGTTCATCCTTGTAAAGTGAACAGCCGTGTCAGCCTTGATGGACACATCTGCAGCAGCCGGCCCTGCCCCTTTGGCCACTGCAAGCACCTGCTGGAGCTGCTGCCAGGCAGCGCGATGCCAGCGACCTGTGCGACCGCTAGCGCTCATGACGCTTTTGGTGTGAATGCACAGTCAGGCTTTCCTCATTTGCACATGGAGGGGCAGAGAGGAGAGCACTCTCTGCCCTATGCTTTCCACGGAGACATGTGGAAGATGCTTTCCATGTAGGCCCGAGGAAAGGCAGTCCACTGCAACTGGAAATAAAATTTTCTTTGACTAAAGTGTTCCTGACTGAATTGCCATTGATATTTAATAACTGATGACTGTCAGTTGGATTGTATGGACCCAGTAACAGACAAGCAAAATGCTGCCCCTTATTCCTTGCTGTTAATGCTTTATAGCAGTATAGTTATATGCATAAGTGCTGTTTTTTTTTTTTTTTCCAAGTATACCAATTTTCTCTTCCAGTCTTTGTTGTTATCTGCTTACTTTTAACACACACTCTCACATGCCACAGCTGATTCAGGTAACATTTTGTCATAGGCCACAGACTACACTCATATATTTAGACACTAATTCATGCATAAAGAAAGATTTCTTCCTCAAAACGTTTGAGCCAAAAACACATCCAAGCATGTGAGATCCTCTTTATGTCGAAGAAGAAAGCCAGATTTGACTGCCCCATGCTGTTGTCTGTTGAGGTAGTTTATACATGTTTTTGACAGAAGAAGAAGAAAAAATTCACAGGAACAATTTCTTATGATGATAATGTCAGGGGGGCATTCATTATCAAGTTTCTTTCTCCAGCAAGATTAGAGATGTAATATTGTTTTTTCTTATAACAATTGATAAAACCTGAATCCACTAGTGTAGAAATGTGGAGGAACAGATAAAAGATTGTTTCAGAGTTTTCTCTCCTCTCCTCTTCGATTTCTTCCACCGGCAGTGTTATGACTTCGGTATGAATCCAGGAAAAATGCCTAGACAGATCACCTGCTCAATTAGTCCTGCTGGCACTTGTGGGTGGCTGGCTTTGTTTTCAAAAGTCAAAACAGAGAACTTTTTTTTTCAATATCACATATTACCTGAAGAGGTACTGGAATGAATCATCACAAATCTAAACTTTTCAGACAACAATCACAGAAATGCAGAGACACACACACAGAGACGACATCCACCATCCAGCGGTGAACCCCCCTGTATGTTTCTACCCGTGTAGTGGCGATTAGAGTGGAAATCAATTTGAGGTGCCCATGGCTAAATTGATATCATTACATTTACTGCAGGCTGAATAATGGATGACTGTATCATTATATGGGGAAGTAATGGGACGAGACAAAGCACAGGTAGACAGCTCGCCGCAGGTGAGAGCTATAATTTGTGTCTGGTTTCTGGCACAACCATACATGTCCAGATGCATATGTGCAACAGTGGGATCACGCAAGTGCTCATGCATACTGAACTTTGCCAACGGCTCGAAATGTGTTTAAAAATTTAAGCTGCGCATAATAACCCCATTTTAGTCATTGTCACTCTGTTGGCGACTGGTGTGCTGCAGGGAATCAATCAAGGCATCATGTGTCTCCGGAATCAAAGCATTTCCAAATTATCAAAAGCAGACTTTTTGAGATGTTGCATGTGTTTCCTTCCACCGGTCATTAGCTCTGGCTGGCTGTCATTTTATTATAAACACCTGTTCACTCGTTTTGCACAGCAGTTGGTTGCCTACTGATGCTTCTGTGTGGTGAAAAAAGGGCCAGAACAATTTCATAAAATTACTCACTCTGCAGGTAATGTGTTGTGGACACAAATAAGGTTAACAAATCTTTCCTCCAACAGCAAATAGATACTGTGACAATAACTGCAGTTGGATAAAATTTTCTCAAAGTCTAGAATGTATTACATGTAGTGTAACATTACATTATTCTATTTACTCCCTAAGGGCCCAGACACATCACACTGACATCTAAAAACTAGTTTTGTCTGAGGGCTGTTGTGTCGTCTGTGTCTTGGCCAACACCTGAACACATCGCAAAGACGACAGCCAACGGCAAACAAGCACTCACATTCTGCACCTGCATGAGAGGAAATAACTCTTCATATCTGCAGTCTGTATTGATTATTCACAAAGGGAAACCAAAAGACGAACAGGACGGATTCAAGGCACTAATTAGCCAGTTTGCACATTAACAACACAACCCAGTGCTGAAAGAACAAATTATATTTACCGTGTGCTTGCGAACAGTAACACAAACATTACAAACTGTTTCTGCTAAAGAACTTAGTGGCTAAAAATATCATCTTGAGACTCAAAAAACAGCACACACATCCAAAAGCAATAAATACTGGGTGCCGGACAGAAGAACAAATACAAAAACAGGTCTGCACACCAGAAACTGCTACTTTAGGAGATTTTAATCGTATCACATGTGACGTTTCAGGCACCAGGCCTTCATCAGACATGAACAAGATAAGGAGACACACCTCTACAGCCAATGGTGGTCACCCAACAGATCATGTGATTTGATCATGTGACACAGTTTTAAAAATATAATCTTACCAAATATAACAAGTTTGTTTCCATCTCACACCCATCTGACTTCAGTCGTTTATTTGTGCACTGAGGTGAACTGCCAATCAGATTCATTTTATTTACCGACGGGCTCTGCTGTCTACGACACCAATCCAACATGTTAATTTGGCAGAAAAAAGGCCAACAATGGAAGGCTAGTGCCAATGCTTTGGATACGCCACCAAAACTAGGGTGACAGACGTTCACCAATGACCCAGCACTGACCAATAGCTGATGGCTTGGTGTGTCAGGGCCCTAATAGTGACTAGCATGGGTGCAAGAAACAGCTTTCACAATAGCAACTGGTTCTATTTTCTGAAGTTGTTTGTAACACACAAAAGTATTGTTTACATTCACTGTTACTCACCAAAATTTATTCTATTTGTCTTTAAGGTCAAACAAACATGTTAAATACATATCCTTCAACATAAAACACTTGCAAAACCGAACATTTATAATCCTTACTAGCTTGCACTCTTCTTCCTTCCTGGCTTTGTTGGGTGCAGTCTGACTTTAAGTCCCACATACCACCCTGTTCATGACTGGGATAGTATTAAACTATTGACAGGACTTAATATTTTAAGTTTTGAACTGATTGAAACACAACACAGTTACCATCCAAAGAGATTTATTGTAAAAACATGTCATATATTGGTCTTGATTCTGCCTGTACTCTGATGTAATGTTACTGAAGGTTTAATGGCACAGCAATGTAAAAAAAATGCTTTAGTTTGGTTGTGACATGAAACCAAATATAGCATTTACAGGTCGGCTCATCAATGAAGAGAGGAGTACATTGAAATGATGTCATGTTCAAAAAACATTGCATTTACTTTCCACCATAATGGACCATTATGCACAGGTATATTAATTATTAACCAGTAAAAACACAAAAACTGCACTGTTGATCAGGCGCCAGTTGTCCAACTCATGGAGAAAGGCTGATCCACACGAACAGACTTTGAAGTAGCATCTACAATCAGCTCCTACAGACACAAGAAAAACAGTATGAGCATAAGTATGCATGTTTTTGAGAAACCATTTCAGTATTTTCTCAAATATTGTATCGACAGACATGGAATTCAAGAGACTCTTCTGAAAAGATTCTTTTGAAAAATATAAAAATAAACCGTCAGAGAAAAAGAGGCAGAGATTCTTGACTATTTAAACCCATGGCTTCTTGACCTCCCCTGTCACATCTGTTTTACTTCTGTTACCTGCTTTTATGTTGTTGTGAAGGCCATGTATAAGTAATGTATGTAAAAAATGTATGTGCAGGAGAGGGATGGAACGTACTGTACATAGAAAAGAGACTAAGTAATTTCTGAGTTTATGGTTTGCTGTCTATACTGGCCCCATTTCCCAAGACATGCAAGTTGGGTGAAATAGTGACTCTAAGGGTGCTTTCACACCTGCTCTGTGTGGTTTGGTGCAATCAAACTGAGGTTTGTTTGCCCCCAAAGTGTGGCTACTTCTGGCAGGGGTGAGCAATCGCATTCGGGTGCGCACCAATGGAGCCAGACCGAGACCACCTCTTCAAGAAGGTCCTGGTTACAACCAAATTCCGGTGCGTTTTTTTTTTTGTGGTGAGAACGTGTTCCGACCTTGATCCAAACCGACTGCAGTTGGTTTGGGTTAAACATGAGCATGTTACAGTCCTGGAGGATTATTAATGTGCACCTCCTCCTGTACTGCCTTAATATGCACATTCAGCACATCCAATGCATCAAAACATTGTTTTCTAGTTGGAGCCACGCCTCGTTTTCAAACTGTATGGTTTGACTAAAATGAACAATGACAGCAATATAGTCCACGATGAGCAGCACTAAAATCAACCTGCGTAGTTGTCCCTCCATTGTGACATTAGAAAGTGTCACATTTATCTTGCAAGTGTACTCTACTTCAACGTTTGCTTTACTTCCTGGATTTTTCCCGCATGGAAATTCTGACCAGTCAAGAGCAGCTTTCTTGTGCAAGGCATTTGATCTGGTCTGCTTGTAAATGCTGCCGTGAGAACATGAACCAACTCTACGCAATTATGCAGCTTTGTAACAAAATTAGTCCCTGATTCAGACCAAAGCAAGACAACTCTAGGTCTGAAAGCATCCTAAATTGCCTGTAGGGATGGATGTTAGTGTAAATAGCTGCCTGTCTATACACTTAACATGTTAGCCTAAGAAAGACTTGCGGCTTGCCCAGTGCATTCTGCATGAGCTAACCACCCTGCAACCCTGAGCAGCATAAGCAGGCACATATAACGGATAGATAAATGCAACATGCTCCTTGTTTTGTAACTTCCTTCACATCTTAAGTCTACTAAATGTGACAAATGTGTGGAAATGTACAGAACTGGTTTACAAGAATCCAATTCCATTTATGTCATATAAACAGCATGGGTCCCCAGAAAAGTTACACAAGCCCGGGCTTGTACATGTGATGATATATTGTAAATGACAGTATGAAGAGCTTCAGAACAAAACGTCCTGTACCAGACAGAAATAGCTTTCCCACCTCACTGTATTTAAATGACACAGTGCCAGCTGCTTACTGCTTCTTTCAAGTTGTTACCCTATCAGACAATACTTAAGGAGATGAATGGATTGTCTCGCACTGAAAAACCACTTATTACCATGCGCATACTGTGTCATCCTCATTCCCTCTCTCTCCTTCCTTTCTGCCCTTCCTCCTCCCCCTCTGCCGCCCAGCTTTCATTCTTTCACACACACACACACACAGACACACACACACACACTGGCAAAATCCTTCTGTCATTCTGACTTTCTTCATCTGCAATTCTTGCCGTCTCTTCTTGCCTCTCCCTGTCCGTCTTCTCCAAGAACAGTATAAATCAAAGGCTTCCGGGCTTTTTCACCTACAATCATTTATGGAGCTGCTGTAGCTATCATTTTCATGCTCCCGATAAGTGCACTGAGTACAGTACACAACCTCGACAGGAATATTTTATCACAAGCCATATGAGGAGAGGGAACATATGCTGTCTTCTTAAACTTGGCCTTGTCTTTCCGTTGTCTCCTGCATCACATAGACTTTAAACCTCCATGTCACCCATCCTCCACCCCAAACACTTTAAATATTTTTCATGTTGTACTCTTTTTAAGTTTCTCCTTGTATGTTGTAAACTTTTCAGGATTCGTATGGCTACCCTCTCTGAATAAACTAGCAATGACCTGAGCTCAGGCCCTGTTTTGGTAAACATCCACCTTGCTGAAATGTCCTTGTGGAAACACTGAAACTCTTCTAGCAGAACGCTGTTGTTGTCCTTGACCCTCGGATCTTACAGAGGAGATTGACTCGTAGACACTTCTGGAATTTCCTTGGGTTGACAATATGCCAGTGTCCTAGTCTCACAGTTGCCCTAAAGACGGCACTCTGGACAAATGAATCACCATGTAGCAAGTACCGTGACAGGCCACGTGGCTTGGCCTTGTGTACACAGTACCTCCTGATTCTCTATCACATTTCTTGCCGCTGAACCATTGGAGCAGATGATGGAGCGAGCAAGAGGAAATGACAATCATTTTACATGAGCAGCTTTAACATCGCTGTCCTGAGTCAAGTCTTCAGCTCTGAGTTCATTACAAAACAACAGTGTCAGGGGGAATGCAGAGTTGATTACAGCTATTAGATGACAAAGTGCGGCACAGCAGGGGTTGGGTTGGGAACCTGAGGTTGTTTTTTTTATGTCTTGTTTTGTTTGTTATAGTGACAGTTCTTGACTGGCAGGGAAATGCTCAATCAGCATGAAGGCAGGGGTGTGTTTATGAACAGTGTGCATGTGATGATGAAAGAGGCTGACTGAGCTACTGTAGTATTACGTAAAGTGAAGTATTAAATGCAGTGACACTGTATGCATGTTATACAGTGATTACTATGTTTATTATGGGGTTATTAGAGCAGAAATGTGGCTGTGGGTTGCAGCTGAATATGTGTGTGCTTGTATACACATTAGTTTATACAAAGTTTTGTATCCCAGAGGCGGATGCCTCAGTCTGGTATTTATGTTCTTAATGATCAGTGAATAAGACTATGCGGCCAGACAAACAAAAAAAAAAGTTATTGAATAACAATGTCTAAAGTCGATTTTAAGCAAATGCTGCAAGGCACTTTCACTGTGAATTGGAAAATAGAAACATTTTTCAGTTTTTCTGTGGCTTTAAAGCTGCATTATGATGTCATTTATTTAATTTACCATTAAATAAAAACATTAAAAAAACAAGTAAATAGCAAACACCACATATTATCAGTCAGTTGTTGTCTGCAACTGTGTGCACAAATAAAACCAGAAACAGCCAGAAACTGACATTTGTCTTCACAGATAGGTTTGGTGAGGTTGGCCAGCGGTCTGCTGAGATGTGCTTATCATGATGAGCCTGGTTCAAAATGGCGGAAAGATTGAAGCAATACCTCCAGAATATTTTGATGTTGCGTTCACAAAAATTAACGCAAATTCAGCCAATCCTTGTGTAATCTCCGGGACCTTGCAATTTTGTCCAATCATCCCAACTTGACTGCTAATATGACTGTTTTAAACTGGTGAAATCTCGTTTCATCGTTGAGCTGTGTGCAGCGTAATGATTCGCTTAGCCCCTCCTTGCCCCTCTCTCTTGGTTTATTATGAGACTACTGCTGCAGGACTGTAAGCTCTACGTCAGCCCAGTGTTTATAACGTTAATGTGTAACGACACGACAACGAGTTGAGAGATTTGGGTGTCGCTGTGACATTGTTGGGACTGTTTAATGGCTTGGTGTTGGATGTTAGCCGCTGCTGCTGCTGTGTTAGCTCGTGCTAACTGGGCAGAGAGCAGGAGAAAGTGAAGATGATACTTGAGCGCAGTTTCTAACGTTAATGGTGTAACGATAAAGTTGAGCCATTTTGGTGTCGCTGTAAGATTGTTTGGACTGTTTAATGGCTTGGTGTTGGATGTTAGCCGTCGCTGCTGTGTTAGTTCGTGCTAACTGGACAGAGAGCAGGGATAGAGCAGTTTATGAAGGTGATCTTTTGGCACTATGTTGAACGGCAGCAACAGATGATCGGTGCTGATCAGCTGTCAGCCCCTAACCCTCCCCATCACAAATAGATTAGCTGCTCTGAATTCAGGCAGTTCATGCCTCAACTATCTCAAAACCAGCCCACGAAATCCTGGAGGGATTAATTAATATCTCACAATATTGAACCTATATGAAAACTTAGGGGGAGGATGTCACAATGTTATGTGTGTTAGTGCTATGTATTAATTAAATACAGATACAGAGACAACTACGACTACAATTACTGACCTCAGTCTCAACGTTGTGCTGTGGGGTCAGTGGATGCACCGTTCCAGCTTCATCTATCAGGGTCACCCCAGTGATCCTAACACTTCCTGCGCCCCAAACCTTCACCTCACCCAGAATCAACCGGTCCTTGGGGATAAGGCCATTGCGGACGACATAACTGGTCAAGTTGTTCTGGTGGTGAAAGTGCAGGAGATAGAGGGGGGAAACAAAAAGACAGGGTTATTTGAAGTAGACACAAGAAATCATGCACTTGATTCATATTAAGTAATATCTATTCTGCTTAATGCTTCATCTCTTTACTGAGTGAGATTTAACATTTGAGTATCTTTCTCCATATCGCTGGTTTTATATCCACCATATTACAATTTTTACTCCATGCTTTGCTTTAAGTAGATAATCTTCTGCAGGGAGAGTTTGATTGTCTGAATAGTTTTACATCCATGCTTTTATTATGCTCATGGTGTGAGAGACACACACACGGATGTCTAAGGTTGCTGATTATCAATGAACCGAAGTACTGACAGCCCCTTAAGAAATAGGGAAGAGTAAAATGTTCTCACTTTGAAAAAAGAAAAAAAGAAGAAAAAAAAAAAAAAGAACTCACAGTGAAGGTCCAGAACTCAAATGGAGCTACGGGAAGCCACACAAACACACTCACACACACACACGCATCTACATTCAGATAGCCATCCAAAGTGGCATACGATCTGCTAATCTGCCAGGCAGCACTGGCCTCATTGCCCAACTTATCCTCATCTTCTCACATCTGCCTGTTCACACATACACCATGCACATGCACACACAAAAGCACATTCAATCACAAAAACACACACACTTACACTCTACCCTCTCCCTCTCGCTGTTCTCCCTTTGGCTGTCAGACAGTGTGCCTGTTTTATCGCTGTGTGAAATTGCTTTGGAATGAGCCTGATGGTAGGCAGAGGACAGCCACAGATGTTTGGCCATGGTAGCTCTATGTGGGTATGTGTATACTGTAGATGTGTGCATATATGTGTGTGTGCGCGCGTTTGTGATTAAGCATGTGCTCATTAATGTGTGTCTGTGTGTGTGATTGTGAGCCTTTGCCTGGCTAAGAAGCAAATAGGGCTGGGTTAGTCCCATTAGTCCCAGTGATTAGGGGGTTTCTGTCATGTCTGACTCAAAATGTGATCAAACTGTGGCCTGGTAAACACTCTCTTCTCTGAAATTAGCCATAAGACTTGGGCACATACAACACCAACTCTTAGGGCTCTCGTTTTGTGCAGCATAGGCGCAAACACAAGCAATTTTATGTTTGTTGTTCTTCTGTATGCATCTATTTTTTTTAACTGATTGGTAATGTCATGGTTCCACATAAAAAGGCATGTGCCAAGGTCTGTGGGGTGACACAGCTGAGGCTGTATCGATCGAGTTGCATGGTGCAATTTTGGTACCCATTTTGGCATTAAATTTCACATTAATTTTCTGCCTCTAAGATCTGCTCTTTGTACAAATGCAAGCACACAGAGCAATGTTTGTGGCTTTATCAGGCAGATCTTTTTAGGCACTTTAGTGTACCTTTGTCGTTGCAACCCTTGCCATGTTCCACCATGTAGACGGAGCACTTATTATTGTTAATGGTGGATGGTGGCTGCAGCTATTCAGTCTACTAAAGGAAGCATCTGTGGATGAGCATCACTCAGTTTTAACCACACTGAAAGCTGTACTTTAACACACCTTTAAATCAGTACAAGCTGAAAAAAGTGGAACATACAAGAAAGAGGATATTTTTTTTTGTCATTTTGGAATCACTGTTTGTGCGTTTGCCAACTAAAGCCACAAAATTGCTATTTGTGTTTGTGATAAGAGGCTGCCTGAGCAGGCAGAAATATAAGTGCAATTTTGTGCCAAAACAAGTACCAGAAGCGCACTGGATGATCTGCATAAACACAACCACAGCTGCTCCACTCTAACCACCTCCGCAAGAGCACAGTCTCTTGGAGCCATGCAAGTACCACACAGGTGTGTGCACAACAAAAGCCTAGCACCTGATGACGGTGACACTGTGACTTCATTAGGGCTGTCGGCTTGGTGATGGCGCAAAACAAAAGGCTTTAAGCTCTTACTGTTAAATTTGGAATGTCCCAACCAACATTTGTATGTGAGGGCCATGTGCGTAGTGAATGGGCTGATAAATGGGCCCTACATAGGATTGTCCGCAGGTTCCATATTGGCTCCATCCCAGTTTCCAAAAGAAGTGGGTTTACTCAAGTGGGTTATGCTAGGGCTACCTGGGCTCCAAGTGGGTATGGGCCAGAAATCTAAGGCCCACTTGGGTAAACCCACCCCTGTGGACAATAACTGATAACTGCTATTATCAACTGATTTGTTAACAGGGGCATGTGTATGTCATGACTTTGATACAGGTTTCAAAAGGAGATTTTTTTTACAGTGAGAACTTTTTCTCAGCCAAGAGGGGGTAATAGCTGAATTCAAATCACCACCTCAGAGTACGAAATAAATCTGTACTAATGGCTTCCAACAGTTAGCATTTGACACCTGCCTACCACAGCCAATGATATGGTATGGCATGGTAAAGCATGAGCTTATTCTCCAGCTTTAATTATGCTGCATTAATAACAATAATGATGAAAAAAAAAAAAAAGACGTGACATGTACTTGGCCCTTGAACTCACCGGTGTGGCTTCGAAGGAGGTCAGCAGATATTGCTCTCGCTCGACTGTGTCTGAGGAGAGAAAACGAGAGTGAATTACATACAGAGCGAGACATGGAGACAAAGGAGGCAGAGGGAAAATTGGTGTGTGACTACCTGAATGAATGACAGAGATCGGGCACAAGTGAATAAATGAGGGATTGTATGGATGTGTGGGTTTCATCTGAAATAAATACCACCTGATGAGGTGCATGAATGAGTGAAGGTTTGCCTTTAAGACTGAATGAAACTTAGAGTAGCTGCCTGGCAGAGTAAGTGGATGGATGAGTTAATACCATACAGTACTGACTCACTAATCATCCACGCATTGACTCATCACACAGCATTACTTCAACTTATTACTGGTTGATTAAATGATCAAATAATGGAATTGGGGTAGTGAAATAAATAATTGAGTAGCTATGCTGCTTAACCATATGAAAGGCTGAATAATTTATTGGCTGCATGGTCAAGTGAACATCAGACTGCTTGAATGAAACTGATGAGTGAGTAACTAGTGCGCAGATGAGCCAGCCTGACTGACAGCAGAGTGAACAGCTAACCCTCTGAAGTGAAACTCAAACATGCACAACTCAAGAAAAGCAGATAATACAGGTAAGCAGGCGCTGCAGCGAGAGGCAGAGCAAACAAGAAAGACATAGGGAGGCTACGCCGCAGACAGACAGGGAGACGCAGAAGAGAGGAGCGAGGGAGCAGATAAAAGAGGAGTGATGGAGAGCATATCTCCAGGCAGCGACATGGGGAATTACTGTAATAGTTTCTGTCACTCCCCTTCTCTGTCATCCCTCGTTCTCTCTCTATCTCTCCCTCTCTTCTTTGTCCCAACACAAACACGCCTTTCACAGAGGAGTGCATCTTCTCACAGAAGCACTTCAGAGGCGGATTCTGTTCGTATATCAGTGTGTGTGTCTGTGTGTGACGAGTGAGGGAGTGCGGAGAAGACTGTGTTGTAGTTGTCTGTGTGTATCTGATGGTATGAATGAAGGAATTCATATTCAGTTAAAAAAAAAATACTGTACATGAGTGTAAGACTGGGCTGTAGGCACTCATGTGGATCTTCCTTTCCTGATTTCCAAAACTTTTCCTATATCAGGTGTGTCAAACTCATTTTAGTTCATGGACCTTATTCGGCAGTATTTGATCTTAAGTGGGCCAGACCAGTAAAACCACTGTATGATAACCTCGAAATAATGACAACCTTCACATTTTTCATTTTCTTTTAGTGAAATGGACAAGTACATTTTAAAAACATTTATCTATTTATGAACAAATGATGAACAGCCTGTGATATCTTAAGAAAAAAAGCACAATTTCAACAGTTTTTCCACATTCAGTCAGTCTACGACTCGCTGTCATTACATTTTTCCATACGTTTCCATACATCAATCAATCAAATCAGTTGATTTACAACCAAAGAAACCAACTGCAACTGAAGTATTTTAAAGAACAAGGTTGCAGTAATACTATTAAATTTCCTCACAACATATAATCAATATTTGGAAAATTTAACAACTGTATTACCCTTTAGATGTTACTTGATTTTTCCAGATTTTATGTTACTGCCAGGCGCTCCGATTACAGAAAGACTGGCAAGGCTTGGTTTTTCAAAGATTAGTGTTGCACTGACAACACCTGGCCAGCTGGTGGCAAGGTATAGCATGATGCACTAGGGTCCACTGCAGTGACTTGAATGCAACTTTAACATCGAAACCCTGCATGTACAATAACATGGCTTTTAAATAGCTTTCCACTGCAGTGTTCACCATTTATGAAAGGGTTAAATTTGACCACAGAAAGTACTTACTGTATTTTAAGAGAACTGTATTCTGGTCAGGGTGTAAAAGCCTCTGAAGCAGCATTTTTCATGAAGTAGGATAATCATATAACTTGCTCCTGAAAGCTGCACCTCTTAGCCTTCACAACTGCTTCAGTATTAGGAGTACAAAGTCATCTAGTGGGGCAGGATTGGACCGTTTGGAGGGCTGGTTCTGGCCCTCAGGTCACATGTTTGACACCCCTGTTCTTTATGGAAACTATTGCAAATTATAACTGCTGCCTCACAACAGTTTGGTCACATTCATCCAACAAAATTAGTTTGTTCTTAATTTGAAGGCTCAACAGAGGTGAAGCTATATATAAATGGACTTGTAGTGTGTGTGTTAAAGACTGCCAGCTGCTGTTCAGGGTCAGCTACATCATGGTATTTGGTCCAACTCTTTGTCACATGAGCTTCCAGCCTTTTTTGTGTATCACAATGGGCTCCTGACAGCGTATCATAAATCTTGATGTTACCTGGGATCGGCTTGTAAAGTGTGCCTTTCCTTTATTTTCCCCTCAGAGGTGTTTGGGGCTACATTTTGTTTTGCAATGCAAATATTTGCAATCAACAAGCTTAAGAGCATACAATCATGCTGGGGGCTCTGTGACATTGCTCTTACTTAGCTTCAAGCACAGCAATGCTTGGAGCTAAATGCTAACGTAAGCATGCTAACATGCTCACAATGACAACATGCTGATATTAAGCAGGTATCCTAACATTTACTAATCAGTAATAAAAACAGTATCACCGATACAGTAAAGTACTCAGTACATCAATCAATCAATCAATCAATTTTATTTATAAAGCCCAATTTCACAAATCATAATTTGCCTCAGAGAGCTTTACAGCATACGACATCCCTCTTTCCTTTGGACCCAGATAGATTTTTTGACGTGCAATTAACACACATACATTCTGGAATTGTGACCTTTGGCCCACCCCGTACTTTGGACAATCAGGAAGCGATGCAGCAGTAACGTTGTGGATGGCAAGCAGTAACAAACCTCCATGAGAAGAAATGGATAAAGAAAGGGGTCTCTTGAATTGCAAGTTCAGCTTCAAAGCTCTGCCAGATGGTTCTCTCCACAAGACCAAAGTTATTTGCATTTACTGTTGGTGTGAACTGAGTTACCACAGAAGTACATTAAGTCTCAAATACCACTTGGTGGCCAACCACACAGCTGATGCAGAGAGCCCTCTGACCCCTCACCAAAAGCAGACCACACTGGATACTTTACACCAGAGACACCTGGACAACTCTACAAGCGACAAACTTTCACCAGCAATCTAGCTAAATGGGTGGCTACAGCTTGCAGGCTGGTTAACATCGTTAACCCAGAGTGGGAACTTTGGTCACATGCTTCGACTGGTTTAAAGACAGGCACTTTGCCCATGCATGTAACAACCACAACTAGCCAGGCAGTGGGACCGTGTACATAAAGTCAGCACACTGACCACTGATAGTGTACGCAACATGGCTGTAGCGGCCAGGCAGCTCCAGTTCGAGCACACGCCTTGCGTTGCACATAGCATCCAACGAGCCATCAGTTTCTCTACAGAACAGTCAGTTTGACAGAGTGTGCTTGTTGGGCTTAAATTTGCCATGGTATGCTTTAGCATATGTTTTGAGCATGCAGTACCTTTGAGGTTATTCTGCAGAATATTCTTGACAGTATTTGTCATTGTTCTGGATTGTTGCAATAATAATATAAACACACATTTGCATAAAGCGAGCATATTTGTCCACTCCCATATTGATTAGAGAATTAGAAACTTGAAAAGTATCCCTTTTAAGGTGCATTCAGAACAGATAAAAAAATATGTGCGATTAATTTGCAATTAATCGCGAGCTAACTAAGGACAATCGTGCAATTAATCACAATTAAATACTTTAATCAACTGACAGCCCTACTAAAAATCAAAACGTGTTTGTGCATGACAGTCTGTCTACCATCTATCCTCCCTTATAATGCAATGTCTTATAGTCAAGATATTAGCATGTATCACCTTCAGGAAATTACCTGCACTAACTCTTTTGAGGGAAAAGTAATTATCATCAATAATCAGCCCATAAATACAGATGTAAAAACATTGAAATGACTTCCTATTTTGTGTGTGTGTGTGTGTGTGTGTGTGTGTGTGTGTGTGTGTGTGTGGGTGGGTGGGTGGATGTTCAAGGGTGACCTTTCACTTACCTATTCCTTCTCCATCGTCCCAGAAGAACAATCCTTGAGCAGTTCCCGTGTCACTCAGGGCAACGATCAGTCCTAAAGGATTTTTGCGACTGAAACAAAATGGGTAGAGAGGGTTATGGCAGATTGCTAAAGGACAACATCTATTTATACCTGCTGCTGAGGACAAATACATTAACATTCCTGCTGGGGGGGATCCACCTGATCTCACCTCTGCCGGAGCACTCATCACCCTCCAACTGTCTCTCCCTCTAATTCTCACTGCCTCTTTCTCTAACTCACATTGATGATCATAGATGGCATTCATTTTGATGAGTGCTGGTCATACAAAAAAAAGTGCCCCCCTTTCCCCAGCATTCTATCTCGTGTGCAGGCGTTGACACATAAACAGATGGAAAACACACACACTTCATGCTGTCATGATGTATCAGCCATGATGTGTGTGCCCTTACCTGTAGTACGTGGTGTTCTCTGGTTTCTGCCAGGGTAAGATATACCCCCCTCTGATATGAAGGTTTATATGGTCCAATGGTGTGGGCATGCTGACCATTTGCCCACGCACTCCAACATATTTGGCCTGATGAAAGCAGCAACAATTGAATACTATTAAAATAATTTAAATACTATAGGTAATAAACTTTGATTGATTTTATTCAGTAATTCTTTTGTAGGAATTTGGCAATGTTGTGCCAGTAAATCACACAACACTCAGTATAAAGTTTTTTGGTGGGCGGGGCTTAGCTGGAGACAAAACAGTTCTCCACCCACATTAGATACCACAAGCTAGCAAGTTCTGTTGGCTTGTTTTAGACAACGGAGGAAGATGATGCGAGTGGTGCATTAAGAAATACTGAGTGTCGGAGCGCACTCTGGCACAAACTGGACCATTCATAATTTCGGAGTGATGTCGGAATGTACCGTTCAGTTATCCACAGCACCCAATCTCGGCACTCTGTCTGGGGTGACAAAGCAGCAGAATGCCGAGCAGAACGTTCGTTAATTCATGCAGAAATATAACACTCTGTTTCTTCGATCAACAGGACTCTTGTTTTAAAGTAGAGTGTCAGCCTGAATTTACAAACGCACCATGTCAGGTCACTCACTCTCCGGGACCCCGAGTTTTACTTGAATAAGTAAACGCTGACCAACGGGACCAGACTGGCCAACCTGTATGTCCTCACTCAGTGGATGGATGATGTCACAGCAAGCTTTGTGTTTTAGCTAATGCACTAAAATGTTAGCATTACGGAGAAATCCAACATTCCTCTTAATGCCTCCCCAGTTTCTGATGAGGTGGACATAATAACCCTTAATACACATAACGTTATTCATCCCTACAACAGGAAATACTTTCTGTCTAACCTGATATGAAGTGGCCGCTGCTCACGTGAGCATTTTTGCTGATCGCCTCTGTCCAGTCCTTTCGTCTTATCACAATTAACTATAGTCTTCGTTTTTGTTCGTGGACAGTAGTGGCTCGTATGTGATAAAATCTAAGTCTTGAGTCATGACTCCTTCTATTCTGGCTCCCAATAACACAACAAGACAACATTGTAAGACTCCTATGCAGCCTACAGCTCTGTGGTGGCGAGTCATGTTTCGCCTCCAGCTAACAAACTGACGTCATTGTGACGCTGGCCCTAAAAGGGTCTATATGTGACATCTATAAGGGCTACATCTGAAACATTTTGGTACTTTATCACAGGCAGAAAGACTTCTTTGCAAACATCTTTCTGCCAGTATTTTCCACTTTGTCCTTGGCCCCTTTTCTAACAGCCTGCACCTCTCTGTGTGCTGAATGGACAGGTTTAATGGAGGCAACCGCTCCTCTCTACCACCCCATGTCCCCCCGTTTAAATTGTTGTTTCTTGAGTTTTGTTTGGTTTTATGATGCTGTCTAACAGATGGGGAGTCCCCTAGCTAGAAAGAGACAGAGCGATTGGATGTTTGTTTTTGTCATCAAGGCGCCTTCTGCCGTTGTTGAGCTGCAGCTCTGTAATGATGTTGTCAAAGATGTCTCTTGTTAATATTGTCATTTCGGTTTTTGTTGTAGATGTGGTCTTGTTGTGATCTGTCTACGTGTTAATTTCTCTAAGAATCATTTGTAGAACTAATTACACATTATAATACCTCATAGACGCAGTGCTTTGCATCTTCAAGATAAAATGTTACACATAATTTCAGATGTTGTGCGTACACTAATCAGCCAGTCAGATGCGTTATCTCTTTCAATAATAGATAGTGTAATTATTCTTCAGTGTTATCTACTGTACTGGTGCACCAGGGATGTGCTTGAATGTGTAGGTGCATTTTCATGGCGTGCAATGCCTTCAATAAGACTGGGCAGGCTTTGGATTCAGTGAAAACGTTGCTTTTCAAATTGTTTTCTGGTTGTTATGGACTTGAACTCACCGTGTGGTAGTCATACCAGCGTGCATTAGGAACATAGCCATCCACACTCGTGGCTCCCTGTCAATCACAAAGTCAGTTAATCAAGAGATGGAGTCCAAGCAAAAGGAAGATAAATATAGGCAGATTACATGATGAAAAGCTGAATATGTGATATGTTTTTAAAGTAAAAGAGTACAAGAAAGCAGGAGTTTGTGTGTATACCTGGTCGAGGGCAGGGGTAATGAGTAGAGCAGGTCCCCAGAGGAATTGCTTGTATATGTCCCATGTGGTTTTATCATCCACAAACCTGTGATACAGCAGCACAGACGCCATTAAACCTGACTGAAAAGAAAAACGTTCCTAACGCTCTCTCCTGTGTCCTCAGCCCAGACGACTGTTCAAGTACTCATTCAGAATTCAATGGTTTGAAGATGCAAGCCAAATATCCCTGCCAGACTCATCCTGCCAGCTCCTTAAATACCATCTGTGACTTTATAAGAGTCTCTTAAAATGAATAAATATGTTGTTTTTTTCATACAGTTCCACAAATTCACATCTGAGAGCTGCCAAGTATAGCCACAGTCAACTACGGCTGGCCTCCACACAGTCTCAGTGGGATTGAGACAGAAAGTGCCTTGCTCAAGGGCTTCTTAATGGCAGTTGCTGTGGCAGGGACAGCACTGATCTGTTAAGTTTTTTAAATGAGCAAAAATCACGAACCAGGTTGTTTAACTTCACTGCAACATTTATGGATATGTTTCATTTTTAAATCTCCCATTCAAGTTAACATCTGTAGCTGATAAGGGAGGCTTTGTTGGTAACATTTCAGCTAGTTAAAAATGAGTTGGGCATTAAAACAGTGGTGCAGAAAACGTGTTAGAGCACTTAAATAAAAGCTCTGCTTAAATTGGTTTTTAGTCCACCACATGTGATATTCTGCATGCTAATGAGAAGCAGCGTGATATAAAATCTGGTTATCTTGCCAGCGAATCAAGAAAAGATCCATCCTGGTAATAACTAGATGATTTCATTAAGTGATTACTAGTAACGCTCAAGCTATGATGTTAGCAGAAAAGATAAGACCCATGTGTGTGTGTGTGTGTGTGTGTGTGTGTGTGTGTGTGTGTGTGTGTGTGTGTGTTGTGCTTACTCGTGCAAGAGAGGTCTAACTACTGTGCTTCCTTCAGTATGAGCCTCAAACATCAGTGTGTACAGGTAGGGCAGGAGGGTGTAACGGATGTTCAGGACGTCACGGGATGCCTCTGCGAAGGCGGCATCCCAAGCAACAGGATCTTGTCTCTGAAAGGAAAAGAGTATAGAAGTGTTGATTATAGACGGGTAAATGATAAGCATATTAAAATCTAAATGTGTCTTCATTATTTATTATGACAACTGTGTGCTGAAAGAGGGTTTTGACTTTTTTGCCTTGTGAACTTTTCACTTATTTTGTCGCTCACAATTGACCGTTTGCTAAGCACCGCCCCCTGAGTTACCGTTGCTACACCTGTCAAGCTTTGTGCTCCTGTGCAGCACATGTACAATTTACAGTTATAAAGATCATCCATTTTTCTGGCTGGAATGACAGCTATCATAGGCAGATGTACAGAGTGTAAACTACTCTGAATCTGATCCAGAGCATGTCAATGCCACTAAAGTTCTTTACTCTCCAGGAACAGCTTTCAGGAAATGCCGCTGCTTAATTCATTCCTTGTGTTTTGGCTTTTGTAAGGCAAAATGAAGAGTATCACTTTTATACCTTTTTCCAGCAAAAGTGGTACATGTAAATTGAGCATAGCATTCATCCCAGCTACATCAGCTGATCTCAAACAGCCCAACCAACTGATGGAGCGGCTGATTGATGGAAGGGAGTCAGCTGATAGATCACATGATTCCTTTCTATGCAACCAATTGGCAAATCTCATTCAGGGTGCCCTATTTAAACTGCTCTGGCCTGCCTACTGTTGCCGCTTCCTCTGCAAGACACTTTGCAACCTGTCTCCACCCCAGCTCCTCCTTTTCGTGCTGTGTCTGACTTATCAATGTCATTTCTGTTTGACATTGATGCTGCTCTGTACTGTTCCGGGGGGTCTTTGCTGCTGCTCTCACTGCCTTAGGCTTTCCATGTAGGCACATGGAAGGGCAGGGAGGTGTGCTCTCTCCACCTTATGCTTTCCACACAGACACATGGAAGAGGTGATCTGTGTAGGCTTAGGAAAGGCAGAGAGGCCCCAGAACATACCGCCAAATATAATACTGTGAATGGAAAGTTTTCTTTGACTTATGTGTTCCTGACTGAAGTGGGTTTTATGAATGCATGGAAACCCGCTAAAAATAGGCTATAGACTCCTTTCCCATTACCAGTACACGAGAGCTGGGTGTAGACAAGTATGCCTTTCAGTTTGTTTTGGGTTTTGTTTGTTTGTTTTTTCCTGGTGTGTAACATTTGACATAAAGATCGCACGAGATTACAGGTTAGTAAAAAGCAGAAAGCAGCATGGAGGCCAGTAAAATTGTTATCCTGGTTACTTTCTTTTGACTGATTTTAAAGAACTACTTTGATGGACACAGATGGTATTTTTATTGCACTGGAAAACAGACTCAATGAGTCAATGTGGGTTGGAGCCAATAAAAACCTGTGACCACTGCAGAGTCAGTTGTTCCAGGAATGAATGTCCATTGTAACCTTTCCCATTGAATACAAATGCCAGATGTTAGCAAGTATTAGAGGGTTTTTTTGTGCAGTGGGAAAGGGACTTTAGAGTCCCATACCCACCATGCAAGCTTCAACATGTGAACAAATCCAAAGCTTGATAGACCTGCCATGCATAGTTATGGTTGCTAAGCTGTGATTGGGCAATCAGTGTTTGGGGAGTGTTGAATGGGTGGTCAACTGGCAGCACACACTTTATGGTGAAATCTTTTGGCAGTATTCCCTGAATAATTCTGTTTATCAGGTGATCCCCGCATTGACGTATAGGTGGACAACCTGCTTTAGGGAATGCAAAAATATAAAAATACCTGTACAACACCCACTGACTGAGATTGTTTACTTGTAGCAAGAGACAAGTGCTCAGTGTTTGAGTAAACAGATTCACTGTTTCAATAGATGTACATTTCAAAAGTTCTGTCTATGGTTCATTTCTCTCAGTTACAAGCACAGATACACACAGACGTGCAGGGCTCTGCAGGAAAAAGCCAGCGGAGTATGAATGTATTACTTTTACATTTGTCCATGAAATAAATGTGCATTTACACACAGCTGCCTCTCTCTTATCTTGTCACTGTGTTTCAAGAGTTGACTCTTTCCTATTTGGATTTCACAACATGCTGAAAATGAATAACTTTAAAATGTTAGCGGGCATGAAAAGAGACTGACGGGAGCATTTGCTACTTTGCAGCATGCCAGAAATACTCAATGGCCTGCATGCATTTACACTGATAAATGATGCCCAAAGTACTCTGCCCCACACTGTACTGACATTTACCTCATTTTTAATTGGCAACAAGCGTAACGTCCCCTTAAGAGACAAGGACGGAAAACGAGGACACGGTGTACTGTCATTTTGTAGATATGGGCCAATCTAAATGTATTAGCTCATTTTCTGGAACTGTAGTGAGGACAATCATCAGTCTGGTCAAGTACACACACACACACACACACACACAAACACACACTGAGGATCATGAAGATTTTCAGCTGAAGCGTGTCATCACCATATGCTCCTCCCTATGATACCGTGTGTGTAGTGGGTACTGCATTTGCATAATTACAACTGTGTGTATGCATGTGTTCGCACAGCTTCTCTCAGTGTGTTATGCAGTTAAGTGTAAATCTGTGTGTACGTGTCTCCTGTCTTTCAATTTACAAAGAAAAAAAACACAAGATATTATCATAAAATCATCACAGAGAGCAATAAAAATGACAGACATTTTCTTCCCAGCTGCAATTTAGCTGGGTCAGATTTGATAATAGTTATTAACTGTAGCCCAGTGGTTACTAAGTACAGGCCTAACAGCACACGATTGAATACAGAACATTTCCATTATCTTATGACCTGAGGAGTTTACCAGATTATCATTTAATTTTCTCAGGAAATTTACAAGATTGTAATTACCTGGAAACCCAGGAGTTCTTCTACCAGCCTCCCTTTTTAGTAACCCTGCTTTTGCACCCTCATGCCTTACAATCAGATTTGTTCAGAAGTAATTATCATGGTAAGTTGTGGGTGTGTGTGTGTGCGTGTAAGAAAGAGATAGAAAGAGTGAGACTGATCAAATGAATTTGTATGAGCGAGTATGAGCTTGCCTAGCTTTCACAATTAGAGGAGGACAGATACAGTTGGAGGTCAAGGGTACGGTTTCACTACCCAACCTGAACTGAATGAATCCAGAGTTTCATGTTTCGGGGCCGGCTTTGGTTCTGCTGCGTAGAGCTTCAGGCTCAAGTCAATTCTGGTTATTTTGAAATGTAATCTATTAATACATCCCTCTCTTTTTTTCTCTCATCTCAATGCCAGTCATCTGTATCCATGTGTGTCATGTGTGGCCTGTAGATACTCAACAACTGGGTAAAGGGGAATTTATTTGTATCCCAAATGATTTAGTGAAGGACGATGCATTTTAGAAACATTCTGACCTTGTTGCAATCACTGATAAATATGACACTGGCTACATACAGCGTAGAGATTGCAGTGTTATTCTAACACAGCAAGAGAATATATTATCTCTGCAAAGACACCATTGACATTACTGTTGCCGATCAGAAACGGATGAACACAGACAACAACTTTGTCGACTGGCCACAGTGAAATTGCAAGAACCCACATTTTTATTTCGTCCACACTGCAAGAACAGGAACAATAGTGTTTTTTAGAGGGAGTTCAAGTATGTCGAGGTCTTGTTCATGAGTGAGGGTAGAATGGAGCGTGAGATGGATCGGCAGTTTGGCACAGCATCTACGGTGATGCAGGTGCTGTGCTATACCATTGTGTTGAAGTGAGAGCTGAGCTGGAAGGCAAAGCTTTTGATTTATTGGTCCATCTACATCCCAACCCCTCACCTATGGTCATGAGCTCTGGGTAGTGACCGAAAGAATGAGATCGTGGATACAAGTGGCCGAAATGAACTTCCTTGGTGGTGTGGCTGGGCTCAGCCTTAGAGATAGGGTGAGGAGCTCGGACATCCGGTGGGAGCTTGGAGTAGAGCCGCTGCTCCTTCACACTGAAAGTGGTCAGTTGAGGTGGTTCGGGCATCTGATCAGGATGCCTCCTGGGCGCTTCCCATTAGAGGTGTTCCGGGCACGTCCCACTGGTAGGAGGCCCTGGGGCAGACCCAGAACATGCTGGAGGGATTACATATGTCATTTGGCCTGGGAATGCATCGGAGGGGAAAGCGTTGCTGGGGAGAGGGACATCTGGAATACTTTGCTAAGCCTGCTGTCCCTGCGACACAGCTTTGGATAAGCAGTTGAAAAAGGATTGTAGATGTTTTGAGAGACTTTGTAGTTCCTATTTCAGAGTAGGTACTCTCCCAGCACAGGAGGAACCTTGAGTGGTGTAGGTGTACGGTGATCAATCAAACACAGCCAGTGCAGCTCTGGCAAGCGCCATTTTGAAAAACCCATAGGCCATGTAAAAAAAACTGAGGATGCAAAACACAAACAGCAGCTCTTAACAAAAATAATGGGCCAACAGTTAAGTCAAGGCTTTACTGAGCATAAATGTGATGTGATTTTAAAATGTAACACAATTTTGACTCATCAAAACAAAAGTCAAGTTACTATGCAAACTGCTAGCTGGCTTACAGTGTGCCACTTCAGTGGTCCTACTGTCTGTGTGAATGCTAACAGAAAAAAAGCCCTTGAAGAACCGGGGGTGGGGGGATCAAACCCCGGGGTGGGGAAGCCCTTCTGTGCAGAGTTTGCATGTTCTCCCTGTGTCAGTGTGGGTTTTCTCTGGGTACTCCAGCTTCCTCCCACAGTCCAAAGACATGCAGGTTAATTGGTGACTCTAAATTGTCCATAGGTGTGAATGTGAGTGTGAATGGTTGTCTGTCTCTATGTGTCAGCCCTGCGATAGTCTGGTGACCTGTCCAGGGTGTACCCCGCCTCTCACCCAATGTCAGCTGGGATAGGCTCCAGCCCCTCCGCGACCCCCAACAGGATAAGCGGTTACGGAAAATGAATGAATGAATGAATGAATGAGATTACATGCTCAGAAAATGTGGAAATGTCTACTGACGTGGACTGACGGTGATTGTTAGGTCTGCTTCATGGCCATTCCTTTCCATTGTGATACACCAAACTCAAGAAATACCAATGTTAAAAAAAGAATACAGTAATAAAAGCTGTATGGTAACTGATCAAGGATCAAATATGACTGCTGCTCTTGCATGATACTGACACATGGACTGCGAGAACTGTATAGTGCAACACACACCGCCGCCGTACGCCGCGCGTCAAAACGCCCGCCTCCATTATATTCTATGAACCAACCCACACTGGCGCCGGCTGACGCGCCAAGC